AAGAACAGATGAGATGCATGTGAGGTGCCACAGCATGAGTCTGTCGTGGGCCTGTCCATGTTGGTCATGGGCTCCCTGATGGCATGGCCCTTTCTCCCTCCCTCCTCCCACTCCCTGGCTGATTTGAGCTGGGAGTCCAAGAGGAGCTAGCTCCCACCTGCTGCTCCAGGTCATGGCAGCGCTGCCGAAGCTGGTCGGCTTCCTCGGGCTCTTCACTCAAGAAGTAGTATCTTCTGGACTGTGAACAAGGCAGGGTAGGTCAGACCGGATGACTCAGGAGCAGGAAGAGCAGGGACTTGGGCCCCTGTTCTAAGAAAGGACAGAAGAGTCTCCCTCCCCTATCCCATACCTGGCTGTCAAAATTCCCATAGGTGTCTGCCGTCATGGGGTCTGCAGGATCTTTGCTCATGAGCTGGGATGGGGGGAACAAAAGGGAAACAGATGAGCCCAGGAAGTTATCCCTGAGACTTCTCTGGCAGCAGGCAGGGGGTGAAGTGGAGGGGGTGTTCTTCCCTCTTCCCCTCAGCCTTGGAGCAGCAAAAGGGGGAGGTCACATGCCCCCATCCCCTGCCCCATCCAGGCCTCACCTCCTGAATGGCGGTCATGACCACATGCTGCACGGATTCCTCCAAGGTCATGATCCTCTGGATGTGTTCTGTGGATCAGGGGGTTCCACTGCTAAGACCATCCTTCCATGCCCACCAGCCCCTGGGAGTGGTGATCTGGGCTCCCCGTTTTCAGTACTACCCCTCCCAAGCCCCAAACACCAGGTTCCTCTTCCAAAGTCCCATCCATCAAGTTCCCCCTCCTGAGGTCGTCTCCCCAAAGTCCCGGCCACACCTTGTTTTTTCTCACAGCTAATAGCACAGCTCAGCACCAGCTGCAGCAGCTTCCCTAGCTCTGCTGGATCGGAGAATTCCCCAATCAGGTTCACATCTGGCAAGTGTTGGTCGGATACCTGGTGTCCCAGGATCTGGGAGGGAGCGGGGTACATCAGAAGCCTAGGGATTTCCACAAACACCCACCTCCATGGTCCCCTTTCCAGACTGTGACAGCCAGGGACTCCTCCTCCACCACCCACCCATGGTCACTCACATCCTGAGAATACTCCACGAGGCCTTGCAACACTTTCTTCAAATTGCTGACCTGTACAGGAAAGTGGCACTTGAGGACCCAAACACCTATTTCCAGCCCAGGCTGCTGCACTTATTCTCCCAACCTCCCTAACTTACCCAAGTATTACTACCTCCCCAACTCCTAGTTATCTGTCTGACCCCCACCCTTATCACTTGTTCACCAAGTTAATATCTATCCAGCCCCTCCCTGGCCCTCCCTAGACACCATCATCCACCCATTCATCATTTGTCTATTTCTCTTCCCTGACATCCTTTTGACCTCTCCCATCGTCTGTGTGGGTCTGGGCCATCTGCTCATTCCCCAGACACATGTCACAAATCCATCTCGTCATTTGTCCACATTACACTGATCATCTGTCTGTCTTTGCCTGGGTCAGCAGATCACCTGCTTTGCCTCATCATTTTACCATAACGTTCCACACATTCCTGACTCCCATCCCCATCCCTGGTCATCTATCCAAACCACCATTGTTTGGTTCCCTTCCTCATCTGGTCAGCCACTTACTACCATGGATCTGTTCCATTGCTCCCCAATTCCTCCGGAGATATTCTCTACATTCTGATGGCTACCACTTACATAGTGCTTTGATAAGCTGAGCAAAGCCCTTAACAAATGTGGTCTCATTTGACCCTCACAGCAACCCTGAGTGGTAGGTGCTATTATCAGCCCCCTTTTTACAGAGAAAGAAACCAAGGCTGACATTTCAAGTGACTAGGCCAAGGTCACAAAGCTGGTAAACATATGAGGCAAGATTCAAGTCTTCCTCACTCCATGTCTAATATCCTATCTACTGCATCACCCAGTGACCAGCCCTGTCATCTTTCCGTGCCCCTCTCCTTTCATTTTTGGCAGGCCAATACTTTCTGTCCAGTACAACCATCATCTACTGGTCCTGGGATCACCTGTATAGACATACCACCACCCTTCTATCGTGAACTGGTTAAATTATCTTTCTTGGCATCCATCCTATAGCTTTCATCTGTCAGTCCATTCCCCATGCAGTCTGTGTTGAAATGCCCCAGATCATCTGCCTCATCTCCAGTCACCTTTAGCCGCCAGTTGTGGTCAGAATCATCTCTGATCCGAAGGAGCCAGGTTTCATTGAACCAGGAAGGGTCTCTGGGGAGATATTGGGGGTGACAGGCTAGAGAAAGAGAGGATACTAGGGAAGCTGGGTTAGAGGGAATCCCAGTGAGGAGAAAGGAGTGGTATGGGCTGTAGACATACGCATGCTATCTAATGAGGGTAGAAGAGCTAAGGGAGTCTTGGTGGGGCTGGGGTCTGATAGGAAAGGGGGCTAAGGAGGCTTGGGAATGGTCTGGGTTTTCTGAGGAAGGCTGGAGGGTCCTAGGGTCCCTCAACTCACATCTGATGTAACACATGGGCCACTGCCAATCCACTGCTTAGGTCCTGGGGGGAAGAACAGGGCTGGGCCACCCTGAAAGTCTGCAGCTGGGAGAAACAGAAATACAGCAGGTCAGAATTTCAAGGTCCCTTCAGCTGCAATTGTAGACAGCTGAGAAGGCGACCAGTCCTGAGCTCCCAACTCCCAGGTGTGCAATCTGCTGGTTTACACTTTCTCTCCTCCCAGTAAGAGGCAGGGCCTCTCACCTATGGGATCCCACCTCCTCTGCACACAAGAAAGGTGGAGTCTCCCAGGTTACTCTTCACTCATGTGACAGAACAGATCGACCAGACCTTCATCATGTGCCTGGGCAAAGCCAAGCTGTCCTTCTATCTTGCCCTGTCTGAACCCCTTATACCACGTCACAGGGCAATGTCAGCTAGGCCCTTCACTTGTGTGCCACCACCCTTCCTGAAGCTCAGGTAGGGTGGAGCCTGGCCACTCCCAGGGAAAATCTAGCAGTGCTCTCCCCTTTAGGCTGGGGGGTACCTCCTCTGAATCTTTATTACAACCTTCTGCCTCCTCGTCAATTTATATATGTGCCATATCTCTCCCCCTCCTCACCCCCTTAGAGATATAAGAGCCCTTAAAACATGATCTGTTTTCATGGTGGCATCATCCCCATCTAGGAGCACAGGGATCATGGGTAGTCAGTTAGTTTGTTGAATGGGTCTTGGGCTGGGAATTCGTAGGTCTTCTTGACATCGCTGGGTCTCAGGGATAAAAGAATGGGGTTGGATGTATCTTTATGAATAGGGTCTCTGTGGCTCTAGGAATATTCTGGGAGGGAAAGTGGGAGAATCTCTGTAAGAAATGCCCATGTGGAAAGGAAATGTCTCTGAGAGACTAGCTCTGGAGAGAGAGGGTCTCTGTGGAGGTAGGGTGGTCTCTGGAGGAGGATCTCTGTGGGAGATATATAAGGGGAGGGCCTCTGGAGGTATTTGTAAACCTCTGCTTTTCTGAGGGGCTATATGAGGAAGGATTCTTGGGTTAGGTGTATGGGGGAAGGACCTCTGGTGGGGAAATGTGGGAGGAGGGTCTCTGAAGGGAGGTTCTCTTGGGGGTATGTGGAGGGGAGAGTCTAGGGATTATGTGAGAGGAGGGTCTCTATGGGGGGAAGATCTCTGGGGGGTATGTGAGGGGAGGATCATCAGGAGAAGGGTTTGTGGGGTATGTGGAGGAGGGTCTGTGGGGGGAGGTAGGGGGTATGTGGGTATCTCTGGGGAGAGGGTCTGGGGGTTACATGGGGGAGGATATCTTCGGGGGAAGGGTTTGTGGGGCATGTGGGGGAGGGTCTCTGGAGAGAGTCTCTCGGGGGTGGTTACATGGAAAAGGGTATCTCCGGGGGAACAGTCTGGGGGGTATGTGGGGAAGGGTCTCTGAGGTGAGGCTGGGGGTATGTGGGGGCTACATGGGGGAGGGGCTCTCTGGGCAAATGATGGGGGCGTATGCGGGAGGGAGGGTGTCTGGGGGAAAGTTGTGGGGGATTATGGGGGGAGGGTCTTTTGGGAGCTGGGGGGAGGAGGGTCCTACACCTGTTCCTCACCGCCCCGCCCCTTACCCAGGTGAGCAGAGACCCGCACAGCTCAGCCTTGTCCACGCTCATGGTTCCGGTTCCGGCCCTGGCTCCAGCTCCGGCTCCGGCTCCGGTCAAGCAGGTCAGGCCGCCGCTGCCGCCGCCACGGCCGCCGGTCCGCCACCAGCGAGAGGCGCAGCCGCTCGGCTGGCCTAGAGCGCCACTGCCCCCCGCCCCCAGCCCGGCCTGGCCCCGCCCCTGAGGCTAGGCTTGGCTCCGCCCTCATGCGCTGCCTGCTGCCGGACCCGCACGAGGCCCAACTAAGCCCCGCCCCTCCCTGCCTCCCTGCCCCGCCATCTTGGAGCCGTGCAGCCTGACCGATTTGGGTTGGACCACCTGTCCTTTCTTGCCTCTCCGAGATCATTCATCTTGGCCATTCTCCTACCTCACGACAAGCACGACCTAGGGACTGAGTGTTTATGGAGGTCCAAAAGGGGTGCTCACACCCAGGGACTTTTTCCATAAAGCCTCAAGGACAGTGGGTGGTGGAGTGGGAGGGAGGGTCTGCCTGGAACCACCTGTGGGTCCACCGGGCCGCAGGTCGTGTAAAAACGGGCCCGTGTGTCTACTGGGGCCCACAAAGAGGCACTTACATCCCCAGGTTTGCCTTTCTACAGTGGCCCACAAGGAGGCGCTTACACACCTGGGGCCGCAATGTCTACAGTGGTCCACCAGGAGGCGCTTATTCCCCGAGACTGCGTCTCTACAGTGGCCCACAAGAGGGCGCTCACATCTCCAGCACTGTGGTTCTACAGTGTCCCACAAGGAGGCGCTTACCACCCGGGCTGCGTGTCTACAGTGGCCCACAAGAGGGCGCTCACACCTCGGAGACTGGACTTAAATTTACTATGGCCATTTCCTTCCTCCCTCCCCCAAGCAATGATCCTCCCCGTTCAGGGGTAGGCTGAATTTGGAGCTGGGGCCCGAGGCACTTCCTGTGTTGGGCACTACCCTGGCACTGCGGAGTGGGGGTGGTGGGGAGAAGAGACTGGTGCAGCAAGACTGAGATACGGGGATCTCAAGGAATCCCCGGTGTAAACCTGAATTGACTGTCGAAATTCTCTTAGCAGGACCTAGGTGGGGTATCACTGATAGGAGAGGTTAGACAATATGACCCTTGAGGTCCCTCCCAGCTATGAGAAGAGAGAGAGAAGGGAGAGATGGGGCACACAGAGACAAGAGATAGACAGTGGCACAGATTAAAAAAAAAAAACAGAACAAAGAGATAGATGGTAAGAGTCAGACATCTATAAACTCCCTCTCCACCCTTTCCATACACCAACTCCTACCCTTTGACCTGAGAACTCTGTCTAGGCCACAGCCATGCCTTCTCCTTATACCACCAGTCAGTAATTGTCTATAATGCCTTGAGCCTCATGGGCCCCACAAACAGACTGGCTAGAAACTTCTATGTTTTCCAGCTTTTCATTGCCTGGGAAAACAGGGAATGGGGATGGGAAGGGATGTCCCAGATCCCACATTTGGGGGAAGGGAGGGTCCTGGGCTCCAGATGTAGGATGGGGGGGGTTAACCGGGACTGGGCCTAGCTCCATCCAAATCTCCCTGGGGCCTGAGGAGTTTCCCGGAAAGTGCAGGGGCCAAGGGAGGGAACTGGAGCTGCTGGGAAACCGGCTTGACTCACTACTCTTCCCCAACCCCCTTTCCAATCTCAGCCCACAACCCTGCCTGCCGTAGCTGGATCCAGACCTTCTCTCCTCCTCCACATACAGCAGTATCCAGACTCTCCCTCCTCCCTGCCCACCCCCAGATATCTATACAGACAAATCACTGGGTATGGTGACCTCTTCCCCCCCTTACACACACACACACACACACACACACACACACACACACACACACAC